GATCCATCTTTAGTTTAAAAATACAATGGATTTACAACAATGTCTATCAAAAGAGAAGAGCATAACTAGGCATGCAATAATATTTACAATCTATCGTAAATTTTTATATATACAATTTGGAGTAAAAATTTAAAAGTCTAGGAAATTAGCAAAAAGTTTATAAAAACCAAGTTAAGTTTTAATGCAACCCCTGTCTCATTGCTCGTGCGATAAAACTATTTATGTGTCGTTCAGTGCCTGAAAAAGGTGCGTATTTAAATATACCGTCTCTACGCCTAAGATTATAGCTATGTTTATTATGTTCCATAGTTCGTTGATAAAAGATATGACTTGGATCACGTAAGATAGTATGGAGTTCTCTCGATTTGGCTTCAATTCTTCTCTCTTCGAGAGTTGGCAGGTAACCGTGCGGGAGGCCAATAATTCGTAGACTCCTCCTTTGCACACGTTCCAATTCGTCCTTTAGATGTCGTGGCAGAACACCCCACACTGGAGAACAATATTCAAGGATAGGCCTGATTTTAGTTAAATAAGTGGTGAGACCCATGCACTTCGACTGGTAGATTCGCTCTTCTACATTCTTTTAGTGTGATTCGCTCTGCTACATTCTCTTAGCTCTTCTGCATTCTCTGCGAGTGGTCTCCTCGACATGTTTATTCTATTTCAGATCCTTTTGAAACCAGGTTCCCAAGAGTTTGAAATTATCGACTCTTTCTATGATAGCGTCTCCTATATGCAGTGGTAGAGGGGGCGGTGCTTCGGTGAAGTTAATCCACATATCTTTTGTCTTTTTGGCATTCAGTTCCATCTTATATTCCACAGCCCAACTTGAGTCCAGAGCGCTTTGCAAATCGCTAGATTCTCCTGTTCTTATGTACGTATCCATGGTGCAAGAGTTTGGCAACCTGAACGGCAACGACAACGGCAACGGGGAAAATATAATTGCTTATATTGTTGTATTTGAGCCAAAGTATACGTTACTACACTTAATTTGCCTCTTTAAGTATTCCTGTTTCTTTCAAACGTACCCTTGAGTAAAAATAGTCTGCGAATTCAAATAAAACTCTCAAATAAGATCGAACGAATTAACTGTTGCCGTAGTCATGCACCGTGAAAATGTGCAAATCACGTACTAGTTTCAACAACTACGGCATTGTAATTTACATTCGCCTTTGTCTTTGAGGATTAATGCTATTGTCAATGACCATATTGCCGTTGCCGTTGTCCTTGTATTTGCCAAACTCTCTAATTATTCGCCGAAGGCGAGGTGATTATCGGGGAATTTAATATTCGCCGAGACGAAGTCGAGGTGAATATTCTCCGATAATCACCGAGCCTGAGGCGAATAATTGTTTTAGTATTTTTACACAAGTCTTTTGTGTTTTTGGGACTGAATTTATTTTAATTTCGCTTATTTCTTTATCAGTAACTTCCACAAAACGTTATATTCACCTGTAGGTGAACGGCTTAATGCGTCAAATTTGACCAATCAATGTGTAGGATTTGTTATGTTTACTTGTGCAAAAATACTAATAAGGCATGTTCCAAAAATATTTTAGCTTTTTTATAATAATATGGAGTTTAGTAATCTTTTTAATCTTACAGAACTACTTTTTATATTTTTTACGTTGCTTGAGCTTGAGACAGCGCTTTTGAAACCATAGTTTTCAACCATTATTTAGGCGATTTACAGTTTATCGACAACTAAATATTTTTTTTTAAAAACATGAAAACACTTGTTGAAAACACACGTTTAGAATGAAGAAAAACGAAACCCGACGAAGAATGAACTATATGAACTATGGTCAAATATTTCTATGCACCTAGTGCGCTCACTCGTGAGATATCATGTTCAACACTCGAAATAAATATTCACTTTAGTTAATATATGTACGTACATTGGTATGCAGTGTGTTTTCTAAAGCCTGGCGCACACGATGCGATTTTAGTCGGCCGATAAAAATCGTTTGAAATACCGATATACGTCGGTATACTCCGCACTCGATCACGAAAAAAATATGCTCCCTGATCTGTAGCCGCCATGCTGCCAAATAAATACAAACACGTGATCACAGCATGAAATCTGATTGGTTATACTTAAAATTCCACCGATAAAAATCGTATAATGTCAAAACGTTCTGATGTTGTCCGCTTAAAATCGAGCAACAAAAATCGGTTAAAAATGACACCGCACACACACAACGATTTTGTTAGTTTTAGTTCCAACGATTTTTATCGGCCGACTAAAATCGCATCGTGTGCGCCAGGCTTAAGTAGTTTGTGTTTGTAAACAGCTATTTTATTTAAGGCATAGGTAGCCCAACAATCAGTGTTATTAATTCATTCATGTTCAATAAAATCATACAACTACTTAGTCCCCGACTGCATTATTTACGCGCGGTCAGATTTTGTACGTATCCCTATAGTAATATAAGCATATATTATGATATGTATATCAGTGTATGATATATATATATATATATATATATATATATATATATATATATATATATATATATATATATATATATATATATATATATATATATA